TCGGGACGCCCAGGCGGTGCTCCTAAGCCACTGCTTACGCTTTACTGGGCCTCTAGGGAGTACCTCGGGATCCAAAAACCTACCGTTTTGAGGCTTCTACCCTCTAACTATAAGGGGTCATAACCTGTTATTTTGTAGTGTTTGGAGAAACCGTAAACCCTTAAGGACCCAATATAATAAAGTCCCTGGAAGCGTAGGATTACGGTTGATGATGATACAAGTCCTGCGATAGAAATCCTGCATTACCTTAAGGACTCAAGGCTATAGAAATTATGGTATATTCCTTATTATGGGTAATGCAGGATTTCTATCATCAACCGTTACGCTTTAGTGGGCTTCTGGGGAGGAGGGGTTAAGGTTTACGGTTTAAGGATTTAAGGTTTAGCCTGTGGATCCAAAAACCTGCCGTTCTAAGGGTCAGACCCTGCAATTAAGGGGTCATAACCTGTTATTTTGTACGTTTACGGTTTAAGGATTTAAGGTTCAGGGTCTAAGGTTTACAGCTTAAGTATTCAAGGTTTCGGGTTTCAGGCTTAGGGCAATTTAGGATTTAGTCTAGCGCTCTCAAACGAATCCGAGAAACACTGACACCTGCTGCTCAGCTCTTTGACACACCCCAAAAGCAAATTACTAAACCTCCCAGAGGCTCCAAAGTAGTTCCTCTTTGGGATTACTTGGAGGGTCGGGGGACTTAGTAAGTAGGTAGTAAGTAGACTTATAAGTACCCTAAAAGGGACCCTAATTGGGGTTATGATACTTATAAGTCCCCCAAAATAACCAGTTACTAAGTCCCCCGACCCTCCAAGTACCCAAAAGGATTCTATATACGAACCCCAAAAAAGGAACTACTTTGGGGCCTTTGGGTAGATGCTAACCCAGATCCGACATCGTGAACCTTCGGACCAAACCCTAAACCCCACTAATGCCCGAAGCCACAAATCTAAAACCCTGAACTAGCAACCCCAACCCCTGAACCCTAACCTCTAAGACAGTAAACCCCAAATCCAAAACCCAAAACCCCTTAAACCCCTAATTAAACCTTAAAACACCTTAAAATTCTGGAACCCTAAACCCCAAATCAAAAACTCTAAAACCCGAACTCTAAGATCCCAAACCCCAAACTCTAAACCCCGCAACCCTAAACTTCCCCAAACCCTAAGAAGCGTCTCAACATCTTCAATGATCGCATTGACTTTAATGTCCAGACCTCTTTGTTACTTTGCAGAACCTAGTTCAAGATGTTTAGCAAGGTGCAGTGACACTTTTCCATGTCTCCTTGTTTCGGGTTTAGCCTTCCAGGTTTAGCATTTAGGCGGATGTAGAGGTTAAGATGTAAGGTTTCCCGGTTAATTAACTCTTACTAACCCCACCATGCCAATCTAAACCGGAGGGCCCGAAACAAAAGCCCATGGAGCAATGCTAGAGCCGAGCTTGACAACAACAAAAAGAATAACGGTGCCAAGATCAACAACAACAACAACAAGAACGACGAACGAGAAGAGTAGTACAACTGACAGACTCGGCATAGCACCCGTACACCCACTGCTAACAAACAAACAGAGAAGAGAGCAGCAGATGCGCAGGTTGCAGCTCAGTGCTTTCAAGAGCAACGAATCCGAAATTGCCGCCTAGTAGGGCACTAGAGCCTACCCAGAGGCCCCAAAGTAGTTCCTTTTTAAGATTACCCTATAGGATTCTATATACGAACCCCCAAAAAAGGAACTACTTTGGGGCCTTTGGGTAGAGCCTAACGCCTGCCGTCCATACAGACTGAGCCTGCATATCATCCAAACTCGTCTAAACATTCCTTGCCTGGGGATCCGAAAACCTACCGTTTTGAGGGTTCTACCCTCTAATTAAGGAGTCATAACCTACTATTTTGTAGGGTTTGGGGTCACAGGTGGACACTAGACAATTGCAATCCCAAAGGCTCCATGTACCCTTACAGTAGATACTTAAGCCTTAAAGGGGTCCCTATATAGGTACTTTAAGCTCTAAGTATATACTATATGGCATGGAGCCTTATACCCTAAACCCTCTAGAACCCTTTAAAGGACCCTTTAAAGGAACCCTTAAAGGAACCCTATAATAGGCACATGGAGCCTTAGGGAATCTATACTCCCGACAACCAGGGCCCTCCTCGAAGCGAGGATGAAGATTTCGCAGCTCGTAGGCGATCGCCTCACGGCAGGCGTCCAAGGAGGGACCCTTAATAAGGACCAAAACCCTATTCGAATTATCAAAGCCCCTATGGTAGTCATAAACTCAAAGGGTACAAGGAGGGACCCTTCATAAGGACCCCTAGGTATATACCCTTGATACAGCTATTATATACCCATTATATAGCGAATTATGGGGTAGGGTCCCCATTCAGGGTTCAAGGAGCCCTAAACCGAATGCTATGTATGCATACGGAGGGATGGACGGACGGATGGACTTAGGCAGGCAGGCAGGCAGGCAGGAACTGCAACTACGGTTGATGATATAAATCCTGCATGACCCATAATAAGGAATATACCATAATTCCCATAGTTTAGGGTCCTTAAGGTAATGCAGGATTTATATCATCAACAGTAGTGTTTTAGGATTGTCACGGAGTTTCGATGGGGGGGCTTATACAAGCTGTCAACCGTTGTTGTCTAAGGCTTCCACGGTGAGATGAAGCGTTGCAGGGTCTAGGGCTCGAAGGTTTAGGGTGAAATGCTGGTGCCCTGAACTCTAAGTCCAACTCGACGGGTCACGGGACCTTGTGGGCAAAATCCTATATGAGTGGTTGTCAAAATTAAGGTCCCTTTTTGGGGTACCCTAAATAAAAGGGGCCGTACTAAATTAAGGACCCACAAAGGGACCCTAATTTTGACAACCACCCATATACAAGACTCGGAGTCCGCGAGCCGAAAATAGGGAGCTCTTAGATATTTCATTTTTCCTCTGTTTTATGTTCCTAGCTTTCTGAGATTAGATATTTCATTTTCCTCATTTTTTATGCTCCTAACTTTCTCAGATTTTTGTTTGGCTTGGGGACGTTATTTAAGTATCCTCCTGATAGTACGGATCGCACTATCTACGGTGAATACTAGTGTCTACGCTCCCATGATACTCCCATGATACTCCCATGTACTGTGAAACTGCCATGTGTCATGTTCAGGTTTTGTGTCTAAATAGGGCTCTCATGATCGTTACGGTATCACTCCAGAAAGCCTGTAAAAGCCCGCAAAAAAAAAATCGAACGTTGCACACACAGACAAACAGACAGAAATGCGTGAATTCGTACTTGTAGTCTGTAAAAACGTAGCCTCCCAGAAGCTAAACCGCCCAAAGCTCTGACCCTAATTTAGGGGCCTAAATAATTAGAATAGGGTTTTGGGGTGGATGCGGGCGAAAGCCTGTCAACGAAGAGCGAAACGAAGGACGACGTGTGCATCCTCAAAGACTGTGTACAAACAAATGTAAAGAATTCAATAATTTATAACTTGCTGCAAGTAGATTGCAGAAGTCGAAGCATTTCTTCGTAGCTTTGGGACCAGGAGTCCAACATCTGTACAGGGAAGTCTTTAGGTTTCGGGCATTTGCGCGTAAGCTTGCGCGGTTCACACGAGAAGTTGATCGGCGCATTGCACGCAGCACATCTTTCAGTCTGTGCCCAACTTGTAAGCATGTCCACTGGTGGGCTGGGTCTGGTATAGGGTTTGAAGTGTCGCTCACATCGCCCGGCCGACGCCCAGCAGACTTCCATCAGACTGGAGCAGCTTCAAGACTAGGGGAGCCATTGGATTTTTCTTATGGTAAGAAAATCACAGTGCAGTCTTAGATATGTAGCATCAATTGAAATTCGCTCTTAGATGGTTTTTTCTCTTGCCTGGACATGTTCTGACAGCCGTCATTTATGATGCCATTGCATTTTTTGTTGCGTCCTATATAACACTTGGAAGTGTGATTGCCATGGGTCAGGCTGCAGCAAAATGTATTGGACCATTCTTTTTGTTATATGGATAGCTTGCGTTCGCAATGCATCTCCAAATCAACACGTATAGTTTCATTACTCGTTCAGGCAAGACGACAGATACAAGAGTCGTAAATAGATAGGTTCCATCCATTGCAACAGGTTTCTAGGGTAGCAAGCCATGTCGACCAAACTAATTCGATTGCTGAAGCTCGCGACGTTATGCTCAACGCCGTGCGATGACGAGCAGCAGCAGTACACGTTTTTTTGGCAATGACAGAGTCAGAGTGGCTCGTCATTCAATGTCTCACCGTCACGTCACGTCACTGTAGTACCTGGCTCGCAGTCTCACGTCTCACCACGGCATCGCTTGTCTCACAGTCTCACGCATTAACGTCAATTGATTCAGAATCCTGTTGTGTACTTGTCTCACTCACCTGTCTCAGTCTCACCCGTTGCCAGCTGTTTGGAATTCCGAATACTGTTGATATATCTTGTATGTTTGAGACTCTCATAGTGTCACCCGCTAGTTCTTGTTATTGTTGAATCTAAATCCTTTTGTTCGATGTGTTTTAGTGTGTTTTAGTGTTTTATCATGTAACCGAGGTGGACCCAACATCTGAGTTCCTTGCAAAGCGGAACATCTTCAGCTAATGTCGCAAGGCGTCACGGTGCTACAACTTTTCAGGCTTTGTTGCAACTTGCAGCGGGCCAGCAGACAACGGCATTGCGATCGGTGGCATCGAACGAGATGTTCTATTCAGTGGCGCTTTTTCCGCTGCTACAGCCAGTCTCATTGGATGTGGACGCATGCATTCGGCGTGAGATTCAGGCAAGACAACATCGAAACGAATCGGCGGTGGCCTGCACACTGGTTCGTATGCACGAGACCGGGCCATCGCGGGTACAGGGTATGAGGAAACATCAAAGGGCCAATAGCAGTGCCAGTCAGGGAACCCAGCCGCAGCCCAGTGTGCCTAGTCAGTCCAGTCAGCCCACCAGTGGTGGTGATGCTGTTCACGGCGATAGTGACAGCAGTCAACAACAATTGGTGTTGATGGATCCAACAGATGATGATGATGATGATGCAACACAGTCAACTTCGACTTCGAAAAGAACAAGGCTGACATGGGACCAGATCAAAGGCAACATGGACACGATCCATCGTAGTTTTCTGATCCAGCGAATTCATCAGCTGGAAGCCAAATGTGCAAAGCAAGAAATAGATCTCAAGGCAGCGAAAAAGAAACAGCGAACAACTGTAGCTGAAAACAAGAAGCTCGAGAAGCAACTGCAATTGCAGATTCAGAAAGCCGGAGACCAGACTGACGAGCAGATCCTGTGCGTTGAGAAAACCACCAAAGCCGGTAAGCAAGGGAAGAGGTTCAGTTCAAAAGGATACGTAGCACTTGGAATCCGCAAAAGCTTGTCGGTCACGTCAGCGGTGGGATTTCCGTTGGCTGCACTTGTGGATGTATCACGGCAGACAGTGACACGAAGCGAAAAAACTGTTTGGGCAATGCTGACAACCCGATCGGCTGCTTTTCATGTCGCTATGCGACGGAATCTGCGTATGGTGGCGGAGTGGTTCAACTCGTGGAATGAGTCCACCAATGAGTCCAGCAACACCGACCCTCCCGATAACACGCAGGTGGCGGCCTTTGCTGTTGCCGCTTCCGAGGAGTGTATTTCGCATGAGGTTCTGGTGGAGCGTGATCTCGGGTTGAACCCAGACCCAGACGGGGATAGAAGTGGGATATCAGGCTGGGTAGCCACGCCACTTGACTCAGACAATAGGCGTGCTGGGGCTGATGCATCATATTCACTGTCGTCAACTTCGTTTTGCGGGGATGCCACGAACAGTGGCATATGGAGGCGGAACAAGCTTCAAGGCCTCCTTGTGTCGACTGGCACGATGACGCATGGGCGCCGTATCGAGAGTCTCAACCAGTTCCTGCAAGCGTTCGTGTTCCACCACACAGTGTGTCTCGGCCCGGCAATACAAAACAAAAGTACAACTGAGAACCGAGGAAACAACATCACCGACAATTTGGTCCTCAATCCACAGCAACTGATTATTGTGTCTGACAACAAGTTCCATACACCTTGGTTAAAACAGACTGACATGTGGCAGCCATATCGTAGACGTTGTTGATGTGTTCGTTGCCCAAGGTGTGATCTGCAAGTGTGCTCGACTGGAACAGCCGCCAACAATCTTGCGATTGTGTTGAAGCAGCTCAACAGCATCAAAGTGCCCACATGGGACGAATTTGCAGAGATGACCAGGACACTCTGCTGACAGTATGTCTTTAAGTGATAAATTTCACAATTTCACAGTGCCAGCACCATCATCATGATCATGATCATCATCATGAAACATCATCTTAACCTCGACCTAGATTGTTGTCGGCAGTCGTCGGTCGTTAGTATGATTGTCTCTTTGTTACACAGCATACAGCATACAGTCCTACGGAGTGTGCACTGTTGTTTCACTTTGTTAGTTCAATTCAGGACAGGTGCATTGCCCAAGTGCCACATTCATGTGTGGTGTCTTTCCGGCGATTGTGGTCCCGATCAAGCAAGCTTCCGAGCGTCTATTCGGACTGTGCTCGCAGCACCTGCTTTCTGGAACCAATGGGTCTTCGAGGTTCCCTGCCTGAAGCATCAACTGCATCTGATGTGCAAGGACTCGTTGCGACTGCTTAACCAACTGCTTGAAGAGAAGGGCAGAAGCTATAACTACTTCGGCTCAGTGGCGAAGGTATGCCATACGTGGCGTGCTCACGGCGCCAAAGTCAACCAGACGTGGAACGTAATCGTTCCTCGAGCATTTGAATTCAAAGCTTCCTGCACGGTCCCTCCTTTAGCTGTCGCTGGAAGATGGGGTTCCATTGATTGTCGCTCGTCTGCGTGAAAGGCCGAATAATGCTGGCGGCATTCAGCTATGATCTCAGCTCTTAGTACTAGTTGTTAGGTGTTCTTAACTTCAATGTTTCTGGTTGATTTGAGGTGCAGAGGAATATTTCCTTCATGCTGCTACTCCCGATTACGTCGTGAGAACATTCCTTGCAACCTTCGCCACGGGGGAGTACAATGCCTACTTGGAACGAAACGCTCAACGTCAAGACCAGTCGGCGCTGGAACACGATGTGGACGAACTGGGCCTGGAAGAGGCAGCTGAATACCGATCAAAGGTAACCAAGTGGATCAAAGGCTCATTGCTTTGCTTGCAAGATACGCTGTTTTGGTTCCTCTTGCAAGTATCCTTCATGTCGCGGTCACCCTTCCGCCATATGTTTGCTATCCTGAGCAAGTACAGTGGCCATGCGTCGAGTAGAATCCGCAATCCGTGCACGGACTGTGAAGCGCATGAACTGCCCATAGTGGATCTTGTTACGGTTCGGCTTGCGCAGCTTGATGACGAATTTCATGACCTGCGCAACAACATACCTTGCTGGTGCGAACGAACCCTTGCGTCTCTGCAAGGGATGATCTGCTGGGATGCAAAACATGCACTTTTACTGGAAGATTTGCAGCATATGGCCATGCGGGTGGTGATGCTGAACCACGCCTCTTACAAGCGCAGGATAGTGGGCTTGTTTTCTCAGACCCGTGTCAGCAAGTCCATCTTTGTACTTATAACCCGATATCATTGACAGAATCGATACTCTACACTCTAATCTCTAATCTCTAATCGGTCCACATCATCATCGGCCTTCTTGCAGAACTATTGCAGGTGGCCGTTCCGTATCTTCTGGATGTTGAAGAATGCGCCTCAAGATGCATGCGACAAGCGCAAAGGCGGCGGCTACTTTGTTAAGTTATTTGTTAATTGGGCTTAGGCTAAATTAGGCATCTGCTTGAATTGAACTTCCGAATTATCCTGTCCTCTCAGTCATGACAGTCATGAGTCATGAGTCATCAGGTGTGGCACGTGAGTTGTTGGACAGCAGCGAGCAAGTGCTCGAGTGCACGACACGGAAAATCCGTACATCATGTTGGGCAGAGCTTGAAGAGGTCGCGGTGACGGGACGTCTCCGCATGAATGGCCGCCTCAGAGCTTCATTGCTGCTCAGCGCTAGCATGCTGCGACTGGATGTGCAGGAGCTGGAGTCTTTAAACAGTATGGTTAAACATCAAGTTGCAAGATCGGGCAACAACAGGATCACACTGGAGCTCCTATCTTCAAGGGTGCTCACGCGGAAGCTGCTGGCATTGCATGCAGTCGGCTGGCGATATAAGGACGTGGTGCCGGTCGCGGCGGCGTTTGCCAAATCTGCCTATCTGCAGCACGGGCCGCACAAAAAGTATTTGGCAGATGAAGCACGATGGCACACTTGCGGAGAATCGCGTCTCACACCTGCTGATCCTGCAGTATACAACCCAGCTGCGAGACCCACCCCAGAACACTCATGGGCCCTGAAGTACAATGCAACTTTCATGAAAGCAGTGAGGGCACACAACAAAGATCACTCGGACACTTGGATTGCACTGCTGGTGCCAACAAGTCTTTGCTGTGATCATCAACCAGCGGACGAAGCCGACGAAGCCGAGTTTGAACGTTGGATATGTTGTGGAGTGACTCGGTCACAGGCAATGCTCTTCCGACAAGAACCAGGGGGTGCAACCTCCTCGTTTATGCTCAGTGCGCAGCTCATTGCGAAACTACACAGTCGTGTAGCTGAAAAGCGGCATCACAACATCCTGTACATACAGGAGGTTTCCATGCCAGGGGCTGTCGCTGCTGGGGCTGTGCAGGAATTGTGTCGGCTACGTGCTCGGTACCAGCGGGCTGAAAGGACGGATCCATTGGATGATCAGGACTCAGGTGGCGACGGCGATGACCGTGATCCCGACGGCATCGATGACGACGCTGACATGCTTGGGGACGACGTCGACGAGAATATGCCGGGGTCCCAAGGCCAGGAAACGAACCGCCTAGACAATGAACAGCTCATGCGTCTGTTGCTGGGGTTGGATGACTTTGGTGACGAAGGGAACGACGAAGATGACGTAGATGACATGGCTGAGCTGGAGGGCTTGAACGTGAAGATCGCGGCAACAGCGGCAGACATGAAGCTTCCCGGCATGGGCACCAAGGTGGAAGGTCGCCATGACGAGCTTCTTGCTGCTGAAGCATCCAGTGTGTTGGCGCCAGTAGATCAGGAGACCGAAGCCTTTCTGCAAGAGCTTTTTGTGAACGGGTTGGGCCAAACTTCCATCAACGAGGACGAGGTGCATTCCTCCAGCTTGCGACCGGATGTCGTAACTGATCAGGGTGATCAAGCATCAGGTGCGGCAACCCAGCCGCGGACTGTAGATGATGACGATGCCAAATCGTTCTGGCAGAAATGGCAGGCTGCGATGCGGATGACCTGCGAAGCTCTACAACATCGTGACAGAGAGTGCACGAGACCGTTGGGCGACAACAGCATCCGGGCTGCCTAGGGTTCATGTTTCTACTTGCCGATAGCAGGCATGAGCCGTGGGCTGTGTTTAATTCACGAAGTCACTCGTTGTTAGTTTTTTGTTTGATAGTCCCTTGATGTTTCACAGTTTCACGACAGGGCCCATCTGATTGGTCCTTTGGCGAACCTTGCTGTAGTACAAAACGGAAAGATAGATCTGCTTCATAAGTGGGTCTCACTGGGTTCACTGGTGAGACGTTTCACTGGTTTCACAGTTTCCCGGTTTCACCTTTGTAGTTTCAGAGTAGAGTCCGGTCAAGCCGATCCAGTCTCACAGAGCTGAGTTTCACTTGTTGATATCTTCCTCTCACTGGGTTCACTGATGAGACGTTTCACTGGTTTCACAGTTTCACAGTTTCACGGTCAAGCCGATCCAGTCTCACAGAGTTGAGTTGCACTTGTTTGTTTTGATATCTTTCCGTCGTCCCGTAATAGTACAGTGACTCCAGTGCTGCATGTTTGTGGTGTGGTTTGCCTTAATGAGAGGTGAGCTTACGCTTCTTCTGGAGATTGACGGTGACGATGCGAATGCAACGGCGGACGTGCATCTGGTGCAGTGGACGCGACGAAACATTTCCATGGGTCGAGAGGTTTTCTTAGACGATCTGGACCGCATCATATGTCCTGTGAATTTTGCATCACGCCCGCGCGACTTCGCGGTCAGAGATATTATTCTTCCAGCTGTGGGTGAAGGAGTCAAGCGAGTTAAGAAAGACAAGCGACCGCCTTTGCCCCAACCTGCCCTGAGGCTTTTTCGAATGTTCAAGTTGGCAGTGTCTCTGCATTCGCGAGATATGGACGAGCAGGTTCTTTTCGATGAAACGGAGCAGCATTGTGCCTGCTCAGTATGCGGCCACACACATGCTCCTGTCGAGCAGTGCGCTTTATGTTTGCTCAGTGCACACACATCATGCACGACCAGAATGACACAAGCAGCCACACAGCGGTCAGCTACATTCAGTTGCGTCCCACGTCTGCATTTGCACCAGTTGCCAAACATCATTCTTGCAACGGTGGAGCCAGCTTCTGGATCATCGGCAGCGCGTGTGGCTGTGGGTTCTTCCTGGGGATCGTTTCTCAGCTCCAGCAGCATTGTAGCACTGTTTGTTCTACAACATGTCGTGAGATATGTGTGCCACGGTTGTCATGTTTGTCGTTGGTTCCGGACAGTGGATAGTTGTTGTTGGCCAGTTGTTGGCAAGTGACCGACGGTTGTTGTTGAAAGCTTGTGGCTGCGACAGTAAGAACACTGTTTCACTGTTTCACTGTATCATTCGGTGTGTGTGAATATGACGACTGCACACTTTCATTCAACAGTCGCTTGGAACGCAAGATGAGTCAGCAACGACGTTGCTGACGTTGCTGGTGTGCGTCGGGGTGCATGGGGGTTAAAGGTTTTTTAAAGGCAAACTATCAGGACCATCATGTGACATTCGTTTTTGGAATGATATAGTGATGTGACAGTGATGTGCCTGCACCAATATGTGACATGTCGTCAGTAGGGACTGGAGTCATGACTCATGCTGACATCCTGTAGTACCAAATTCTGACGTGGTTGTTCATGTTGCTGCATGTTGTATTGACTGAGTCTGCGCGGCTTCATCGACGACAACCTGGACATTGGTCAGCGCATCGAGACGTCGCCGGTGCTCTGCCAGGTTTGCAAGGCATGGTTGCGACAGTAGCTCAGCTGCAGTCCGGAGTGTTCTGGAATCATGGATGGACAAACAGAGTGTTGGAGTGTTGGAGTGAGCCTGCGAGGTCCTGCGTGTATCTGTTTTAGCTCTTAGCCGCACCACTGCGGTCTTAGCATGTGTTTGTATGTGAATTCAGGCTTGGCCACTCAGCTCACTGAGAACGGACAACGGATGTCAGCGATTGTCACTGTTGCTTGTCTGGCACCAGTTTGGGTCACGCTGGGGCATGGGCATTGACTCGGGTACCTGATCAAGGCAGTTGGCAGTTGGATTGCTCGCACCATGGCATGTGCGTGAATGTTTGTGTCGTATCATAGCAATTTTGAGTCTCAAGCAGCGGTGACGTGTGTGACTAGGGTTTTGGGGTACATTATGCTATAGCTATATGAAGAAGCCCACAATAGCGTTGGACATGATTGAAGCCCCTGAGCCTGTGGCCGTGTGGCCGCTGAGACAGTCTTAGAGTCTTAGACAGTGTGACTTGTGTGGATCATGCCCATTTCAGTGCCTGACATACGGCGTTTCATGGGTGAGCTGTTGCTGGATGCAAGAAGTCAACAGCCGGAGCCGTTGGAGCCACGCAAGATCGAGGAGTTGCTTCAGATGGCGTCTTGGTCCGACGGGGTGTGGCGGCGCTTGCTACGTGACTGCGAGGACATCGGTATCAGCGAGAAGATGGATGTGTGTAGCGTCATCGGCCGTGTATTGAAGCGACGCCCAAATCAGGTTCCGTGGAAAAGGCACCTTGAAACAATCTCCGACAATGAGTCAGAGTAGTGAGCTGAGTTTCATGATCCCAAGGTTGCGTGCATGGACTCCGTCAGTGGACCACAGACCTTGAGCAGTTTCGAGCATGTACAATGCTACGCTACGTACAGTCATATCATGTCGAGGGACCTACTTGTTGCGAACTTGTGAACCGCTATGGCTATGGTCATGGTCCAACAGCACAGTTTCACAGCGCTTCCGATGTGGATTAAGGTCGATCCAAGACATGCCTGCGTACCAAGCATTGTCCAGTCAAAAAGGGAATGGGTTGTGCTGCCATGTATTGTTCAAGTCGCCTGGTCGCTTCGGAGATGTGAGGTGTTACACAGCTAGCTGTTACACAAGCGAATACTGTAGATTGTCAGATTGTCGGCAGTCCTTAGCTCTTGTCACTTGTCCCTTGGATGTGTTTGTATGTTTGTGAACCAAGGCTCTACCAGCCAGATCACCGAGTGCCAATGTCAGTGGCTGGTGGCTGTCACTGGCTGTCACTTGACCGGCACAAGTTGAGATTTCGGTTTTCCTGCAGGCAGCTTGTGTTGAAGCATAGATGGAGACGCAAACTCATGCTTGTCGACATGTTTGATGTGCTGCTCTTGCGATCTTATAGGCGTGGCCCGAGGAAATGTTGAGTGCAGTGCCCTAGGTGTTTGTGTGTCAACGTTGTGTCAGCTTGCAGCACCCATCACAGTCCCATGTGCGGCAACAACAAGACTCCTCCTACTACTACTACTACTACTACTACTACTACTACTACTACTACTACTACTACTACTATGCCTAAAACACGTGACTACAAGATCACCTTCGCTTCGCTTCGCCGCTTCCGCTTCGCTGCCATCCGCCACCATGAACTTCGGCAGCCCCTACATGCCGGCACGCGTGAAAGGGGTGGCTCCGCCTCCGCCACCTCCTTTGCGGTCGGGCGTTAGACCGAGCCGCAGAGATCCAGACGAAGCTGCGGCCGAAGCTGCCCTGCAGCCAAAATTTGGCCGACCGAAACCCAAGCCCACGATGGCTCCACACCTGCATCATGCTCCGACGCCGACACCACCCGGGACTGGCGAGCAGGAGCTGCTGCAGCTCGAGGATGTTGCCTGACTGTGCTATAGTTACTATAGTTTGTGCTTGGTTGTAGTGCTCAGGATGCTACCCATCTTATTGTTTGTGATCGTATTCAATTAAAGTGTTTTTGGGCATCAGACTCAAACCCTGGGTAAAGGAAGTAACGAAATATAAATCCCTACAACTTGGCCCTACAACCTTTAAGTGCCATCGGTCAGTCTTTGTTGTGGCCGCCGGTTGTGGCCCAGTCTGTGATCAACGGGCCTACGGCCTAGGGCCTAGGGCTTTGTAAATGTACAACACCAATTATCAGAAAACCAACACATACAGCCATACAGCATACATTGCAGAGGTATCAGCCACAACAATCAATGATGGACAGTGTTCTATGATACACTGAGGTTGTCTTCGATCATCAGTTCGTTCCGGTCAACTTCGGCCGACCTGCGCAGCCGTACGCTCTCCTGAACCCTGAGATGGCTGAGATGGCCACGGACTGATGGGTTATTGCCTTTCTAGCTTGCATTGAACACATACAAGTAGGAGCCATCTTCCCCAAAACAACTAAAACACGCATCCATCCAACATCTAGCATCAAGCATTCACTCCTTGAGAACATTCCGCGACTCCAAACATTGGCATTGCTTCCGCAGGAGCATCAGCAGAATGAGCCAGACGAAGCTCCCGAACACGGAGGTGATGGTGGCTTGGGTGGTGAGGCGGAGGAAGTCGTCTTCGAGACGCCGGACCCACCTGGACCAGAAGAAGCTCCGGACACGGGTATGGGCATGGGTGGTGATCTTGAACACCACGCTCAAGAGGCTCAAGATCTGGACTCCGAGCTCATCGAGCCCAAGGTGCCCAAGGAGAACCCAGCATCGTTTTGCATGTTTGTTTCCAAGCTGACCCAAACCACTAACCCTAACCACAATACTGTAGATCCTATGCCAGTCCTACCAACGATCCCGCAGGAGGATCCTCAATACGGTGGCGATGATGCTGGCAGCGTGCCAGAGCCGAATGCGGAGGAGATTATGATATGGTTTCGCAATGCTGGGTTGTAACCAATCTCCTTTTCTTAATTCTGAATAATCTCAGAGAAGCTTCTGTTTGCAATGATAGCAATAACAGCCGAACAACATTTATCACAACAATCCCGCAGGAGTCTCCTTTTGGCGGTGGCGGTCCTATCCGGCAGTATGATCCGGATGGCGACGTTGTGCTGCCTCCGAGTGAGTGGGTGGGAGCAGCACCACATGTGGTGCCCGACGCGGCAGATGAGACTTCTGATGAGGAGGAGTCCGGCAATTCTGTTAGGTCGCATCATATCACATTCATGTTGAGTGACCGTGAACCCAGCGTGCAGCGTGCAGTTGATACGGTTACGTTGATAAGAGTGATAAGGGGATGAGTTGCTAGTTGCTAATAACATGGGAATCACAACATCATT